CGCTACGGCCCCCTGCTCTGCTCCCGCTACGGCCCCCGCCCCCACTCCTCTCCCCGCCCCTGCCCTCGCCGCTGCTCCCGCTCCCGCTGCTCTCGCCGCTCCCGCCGGTGTCGGTGTCAGTGTGAACAGCAGCAGCAGCAGAAGCAGCAGCGTAACCAGGATCAACAATGTGGCCAGCAACAACACCTCCGTGGCGTCTACTAGCATGCTGAGTGTGGAGGCAATGTCGGAGGCGTTCCGCCACATCCGTACGAAACTTCTTGTCATCCAGCAGCTTTCCAACGCGTGCAGCGCCGCCGTTGGCTTGATGGGCGACGACGAGTGCGAGAGCAACAACCTAGAGGGTTTGTCGGTGCGGCTCCTTCAGAGAGCGCAGGAAGTGCACGATGCGCTGCAGCTGACGCAAGACATACCTCCCCCCAGTGAGGACGGGACGGCTGAAGAGAGCACAACGGCGGCCCCCGCGACTACCTCAATATACACATGTGTAGCGGCGTTGGTTAAAGCCTATAAGTCCCTGCAAAATGAGAATGCAACGCTGCTGCAGCAGGAAGAGGCGTCGGAAAAGCAGAAGTCTTTTCTTCTTCGGGACATTGAGCAGACACGGGAGGAATTGATGAAGGAAGAGAAGTTACTGAAGAGTCGCCGCGAGAAGCTGACGGAGGAGTGCGAACAACTTCGCCGGGCGCTGGAGAATGCGACCGACACGCTGCAGGAGCGCGACGCCGCCCTAAAAGATGTCCAGCAGCAGAATGCCGCGCTGCAGGACGCGGTCTGCCAGCACTCTGCGGAGTGCGAGCAGCTGCGGCTGCAGTTGGCGACGCTGCATGCCACGCGCGAAGATATGCAGCAGTCGCTGACAGTCCTGAGAGACGCGTCGGTGATGGTGCGCAGGGCATCGGCCGCCGTCCACGCGAGACTGCGCAGCGTTGCAGGTATGCCGCCGGACGATCCGACGGATGCAACGCGCATAGGAGAGCAGCAGCAGCAGCAGCAAGAGGGCGGGGCCGAGAAGCCGACTGGAATGGCCGCTGATGATGTGCGCGCCAGCGCATCGCAATTGTTGGCCGCGAGTGGACGCGACTTGCGCCTCTGCGGGGGCGTGCTGCAGCACCTCGAAGAGAACGTGCGGGGTGCCGCGCGTCTGCTCGAGGCACTCCAGCAGACGCAGCTGTGGGCGAAGGGGGAAACCGCCGAAAGTGAGGCGTGCATCCGCGCGGTGCTGCGCGACGCGTGCCGCGACGAAGCCGCGCTGCTTGGCGCGCTGCAGTCGCTGTCCCGCCGCC